CATCACCACTGACATTCACATGGTGACTTAGGGTGAATCTATGATCCAGGGCCTGGTCTTTTATTTTGGATATGCAGAAGCCTAGCCCATCAAGACATTTCAACAAGATCATGCTCTTGGTGCTGAACAGAACCAGGAAAGTCTGAGCTATAAATGATTGTGTAAGTTTATTAATTTACAATGAGAAAAACCTCTTCTAGTGACTAGCCATTCATGTCTCCTTGCACTAAGTCCATACTCTGAACTCAAACTAGCTTAAATCTCAGGAATTATGACCCAGACATCAATAGTTTTAAAATCTCCCCAAATGATTCCATTGAGCAGCCAAGGCAGAGACCCGCCTGCTTAGAGCAAAGAGGTTATCCAGGCCACCACGAGTCTTTAGACCTCATCATTTCCACACAGGGATCCACACCTGTGTGTGTTATAGACCAGTGATGTTTTGTTTTGTTTTGTATTTTTAAGTTGGCAGAAGATAGAGGCTTGCCAATTTTTTAACTTGCCAAGCAAGGACATTAAAAATTAAATTACTGGACTACTGGTCAAGATGGTGATGTAGGCAGACATAGCTCACCTTTTCACACAACCACATCAAAATTGCAACTAAAATATAGAACAACAAACACTCAGAACCATCAGAAATTGAATTGAATGGAAGTCTGACAACTATGGAATTGAAGAAACCACATCCATTCAGACTGGTAGGAGGGGTGCGGATGTGGAAAGGGCTGGCCTCACACCAAATTTGGGAGGGATATCTTGGGTGTGAGGAGACCCAGATCCACACAAGACCCCCAGTCCAGGATTCCAGTGCCAGGAAGATAAGTGCCCACAACTTCTGGCTGTGAAACCAGTGGGGACTGAGTCGGTGGAGGAGGCTGCTGGAGTCCTAAGCAGTTCTTCTTGGGGAACCCAAACACAAACTCACATCCTCAGACTTGCTCCCTCTGAGCATCAGCACTGGGGTGGCAGCTTGAAGGGCACCAGTGGTATACAGGGAGAGACTGAAGGGTCTGGCATCAGGGCAAACAGAGGTCATTGTCCCTTTGCTGGGCCCTACCCTCACAGAGTCTGTAGGCTGGTACCATATCTGAGACTCCATCAACCTGGCTAACACTGTGTGACCCACCTTGGAGATCCAAAGAGGCTCTACCCACCCAATTTACAGGCCCACCCAAGCTGCTTTACCATAAGAATAGTTGGTCTTGGCTCCTAAATCCTATCAAACAAGCAACAGTTGGCTTCAGTGAGCCCTAGAGGCAGCCAAATTACATTCACAGCTTGGCTTCACCTGGCAATCTCCAAGCCCAGCACAAGTAGCAGCCACCTCAGATTGCTTTACAGCTCAGGCAGGGGTGGACCCAGGAAAAACAGGTTGGGGCTGACCTTGGCCTGCATCACCTGGGAAACCCCACACCACACCCAGTGGACAGCTACAGACCATGTCAGAGCACCACTACCTTGCATAGCCGATCCTCCATGGAAAGCATAGGTTGGTAGTCAGTGGTCACAACCAGTCTTTGCAGCTGACTGGCCTGGGTAAATCCCTCCCGTTAATCTGCCAACAGCAATGAAGGCTCAACTACAAGAGGGTATACTCAGACCATACAAAGGGTGTTGGGAACTGCCCCGACTGGTATCAGAAGCTGAAACCCCCACCTAGGCTAAGGCTAAGGGAACGCCCTTGGAACCATAAGCCAGCAAGGAGACAAAAGCTTATCTCCCTGGCAGGAATGCTGCTTCTGCTGCTTTATTCATAACTGAACCCCAAAAAGCTTGGTCGGTTAGCCAAAGATGGGTAAGATTCCCCACGGGGGGAACGATCTAAGACAGGCATGATCACTTTGGGAGGCCCCCCAAAAGAAGGACTTGGGGAGCTGCAGCAAAAGGGGTGATGGACCCTCGCTCCTCGGCTTTGACATAGCCTGAGTTCTCATCGTCTGGGAGAAAAACTCCTTATCTCTTGGTTGCCTTAGTTCCCTTGTTCCACCTAAGCCTGAAACAATGACAGGGTGGTGCAGCTCTGTGCTGAAAAGGGCGGATTCCCCGGGTGATCAGGCCTAAGAAAGAGTATGTAAATTACTGTGAAACCTTCTTTGTTTAGAATGCTCTCAGTTGAATGAGAAGGGTCCTAGGAGGAAGTCTTACAGCTGTTTTACCCTGACTCAAAATAGACCCTCAGACTTCCTTGTTTTCTATGGTTCCTTACTTCCCCCTAATGAGTACTGTACTTTACCTGAATTATTGTGCAAAATGAGCCCAATAAAAGCAGGTATGGATGGTAAATCGGCGCACTCCCCACTAGAGGGGGTGGCCATTCCATCCCTACTTCTCCACAGAAACTAGTTTGTCTCTGTGCATGTTTTTTTTCTCGCGTGTTTTCGTCGAGCCATCCACAGCATTCCATGATCACTGCTGGCCGGTGACCCACGCATCAAAAGGGCATACTTGTGTACCCAGTTTTGGTGAAAGGTCCAGCAGTACTACTTGACCTTATAGCACACCTACTACCTTAGGCCACACTACCAAGACATGGAGTCAAAGCAACTCTAACTAATACATAGAAACAAACACAGAGAGGCTGCCAAGGAGACAAAGAAAAATGGCCCAAATGAAAGAACAGATCAAAACTGCTGAAAAAGAGCTAAATAACATGGAGATAAGCAACCTATCAGATGTAGAGTTCAAAACACTTGTTATGAGGAAGGAAGCTCAAGGAACTTAATGAGGACCTCAGCAGCATAATAAAGACCCAGTCAGAAATTAAGGATACACAAATTAAAATAAAGAACAATTTACAGAGAAACAACAGTAGAATGGATGAAGCTGAGAATCAAATCAGTGATTTGGAACATGAGGAAGCAAAAAGCAACCACTCAAAACAACAAGAAAAAAAAGAATCCAAAAAAATGAGGATAGCATAAACAGCCTCTGGAACAACTTTAAGTGTCCCAACATTCACATCATAGTGGTGTCATTTGGAGAAGAGAAAGAACAAGAAATTAGAAATCTATTTGAAGAAATAGTGAAAGCAAACTTCCTTAATTTGGTGAAGGAAGTAGATGTGTAGGGTAAGTGGAGGCAGCCTGGCTTCCTCACCCAGGTGTCTGGGTAACTAAGGGAAGCCATGTTCCCATAACCTTGAATGGACCTGATAAGTAGTGTTTTCATAGCCTTGAGACTGGGTCTGATAAACGGTCGCCATAACACGAAGTGGGCTCGCATTCGCAGAATCACGCCATGTTAAATAATTTTTTTTTGGCTTTTTGCCAGCTTTGTTTGTCTTTAGTACTTAAGCAAGCAGAGACTCCTTGCTTGGTGCCAGAACATGTGCCACACAAGGGGAGAGGTGACCTGCAGTGTGCCACAAAGAGACATGTAGAGGCTTCTCACTAGAGACACATGCAGCTTGCAGCATGCATGGACTGCCCACCCTGGAATAAAGGCATGTCAGACACAGCTCCATGAATATGCTTCTGTCTGCCCAAATACTGTGAAGATGTCAGGCCTTGAACGGTTGCAACACAACGTGCAAGTCCAAGAAGCACAGAGTCTCAATTATGATGGATGCAAAGAGGTCTACTCCAAAACACATCATCATTAAAAGGCCAAAGATTAAAGTTAAAAAGACTCTTAAAAGACAGAGAAAAGAAGTTAGTTACCAGAAGGTTGCCGGATGGGAGGGGGAGAATGGGTGAAGAGGTGAGGGGATTAAGAAGTACAACAGGAGGTACAGAATAGCCATGGGGATGCAAAGGAAAGTATAGGAAATGGAGTAGCCAAAGAACTTATACTCATGACCCATGGACATGAACAATGGTGGGGGGATTGCCTGAGGGAGTCGGGGGCACTAGATGGGGGAGGAAAAAGGGGGAAAAATCAGGACAATTGTAACAGCATAATCAATAAAATATAGTTTAAAAATTAAATTACCATTATTTAACTCACATTTCTACTTAATCTGGCTGATGACTTTGTTTTTTGTCTCCCTAATGAATTACCCCTGCTTGGACCCTTGCTTTTATGTGGCAAATTCTTAGAACCTTCTATCTGACTACAGTCTCTTCTTCCCATGACAATGACCTTGTCTGCTTTACAGATTCTGGTACTTCTCAAACTCAGAATAACCTTCCCTTGCTATTGTCCTGAAGCAGCCAAATGTTTTAATGGAAAGCACTTAGAAACCTAGCTATTTGCACCTGCATCTCTATATTCCTGTTTGCCAGGAAAAACTTGAATCAAATTCTCCATCGACACATTGGTTCTAAATCATAGATCTGGGAGAACAGGAGTTAGGAGGGCAAGCCCTGCTAGTTGGTGTAGGACACTTCTTGTCTGTGCAGGACCCAGTTTAGTCCAATATTTTGCCTGCTACAAAGAACAGTTTTCAAACTCAGTTAATACCAATATCCTTTCTACCTCTGCCAAGACTTCTCTTCCAACACACCAAAAAAAAAACAAACAAACAAACAAAAAAAAACACACAAGAAAAAAACACAAAAAAACCCACAAAAATAAAAACATATCAATATATGACCTTCTCAAGTTGCTGAAAATTTGCCATAGGAGACAAGCCTGTTTCTGAAAGTTTCAACTCATCCAATCAGACAAAAGGCTGAGGAAAAGGGAGGCATTTATCAAGTTACACGGAGGACTCCATCTGTTATCTTAGACCTTTGTTACCAAGTGACACAAGAGGAGGTACTCAAGGCAGTTTCAAAGAGTTTTATTTTACAGATTCTTAGTCCAAAGATTTCAAATTAGAGAGAAGTAAAAGCAAAAAAGGAGAAAAGCCAACTAAGTGTGATGCAGAAGCCTTCTTCCTGGCATACTACTGACATTTAACCTGGCCAGAGCCTCCGGCGATGATGAAGTTGCCTTTTCAGCTGGGTTCTGTCTGTTCAGCCTCTGTAATAAATGCTGACAAAGGGACAGTCACTTCTCATCACTCACAAAGGTCTTGGTTTTGAACCTCACCCTCACAAAAGCCACTTCTCATTATGCCAAACCAACAGAAGAAAGTCATTTTTTGCATGGCCGGGGTATTGAGCTTCGTGTGTGCCCTTGGAGTTGTGACAGCCCTGGGGACACCGTTATGGATCAAAGCCACCTTCTTCTGCAAAACGGGGGCTCTGCTAGTCAACGCCTCAGGGCAGGAGCTGGACAAGTTCATGGGTGAGGTCCAGTACGGGCTTTTCCATGGAGAGGGCGTGAGGCAGTGTGGATTAGGAGCAAGGCCCTTTCGGTTCTCATGTAAGTAGCTATTGCATTTTGGTTTTTTTTAATGTCTTAGGAACACTCCCACAAGTGTTGCAAGAAATTGTTTTAAGAGCCTTGCCTGGTGCAGGATTTCTTTGCAGGTATGAACCATTTGAATTACCTAGGACAGTTCTGAGCAATCTCTTCTCCCTAGTTTTAATTATTTTGTGTTTATTTTATTAAGTATTTCATCCTTGCTATTTTTTATAATGACAACATGTAGTTAATGAGTTGCTATGGAGTTATACTTTTTGAAAAGATAAAAAATTAAAATTCTTCTTGAATATTAATATTTACTTAAGAAAGTATGGATCTTTTAAAAAAGGGAAAGACTTAGAGAAATAGGAAAGCTGTAAGAGGTGATTTTTATTTTGCTCTTTATGAAAAGGTCAGTCAGTGTTGTGGGCTCCTTAACCAGCCCTAGCTGCTTTTCTACCTTGTTCATGAGTTTGTCTCCTGTCCTGTTTCTGTTATTCTTACTAGATCCTCTCCTGATGATAAATATTCTTTAAACCAATTTGAAGTCACTTGGCTATAGAAATTTAAAACAATTGGCTTTACTAACTGGGAAAGAAATACTTACCTATTTAGTATATAAAATTTGTGAGGGACTGACCTACAAATTAAGTAGACAATGTGAAACAGATTTTCCGTCACAATTTTTGTGAAATAGAAGTCTTAACCTCAATATTTATAACCTGTTTATCTTAGGAAGAGAACTTTTAAAAAATTATCATGTGAATAGGCAACTAATTAAATGAAAATTAATAAGAAGTCATTTGTTATATCTCTCACAACACACATTTAGAAATTATTATTATTTCAAAAGGGCTGGTTTGAACAATCTTTCGAAGACACAACCAGTAAATTAGTGCATAAATCACTCTTCAGGAAAGGAGGTTACCAATTGAGGTATTTAAAATGAGTTATTATTTTGTCTGGGTATTTTTTCCTCTAGCATAGGTAGAAGGCTAAATAAATTGAATTTATTATTAACATATGCAGTGTCTAATTAAATTTCAGTGCTGACCTATTTATATTTCTGCAACATTCTTCATATCTTCTTAGCAGTCACTGGATACCAAACTTTAACTCATATAGTGAGTTCATAAGTATATGAATTTTCATAGGGCACCAGAGATTCCCCAAGGATTAGTCTTCAGTTTTTCAAGAAATTATCATGCACTAGATTTCATCAAGTGGATACCAACTCTTGACTGAATGGCTTTAGTTTATTAAAGTTATAGGACTGTGAGGGTTGCTTATCTTTCATGGGGGAGGGGGCAGAGAACAAAGCAGAATGTCAAATGATTGGCAACTGTATTACAAAATAGAAAAAGGAAAATAGATGAGTGAAATGATTTAACCATGAGTTACTGGCAGCTTAAAGCATGAGTAAACACTTCTCACAAATGAATTTAGACAAAAGCAGGGAGCGTACAGTGAATTTTCTGAGTCTTTGCATTTTCTACACTGAAATGTTTCAAAACAATAATGTTTTCTGAACACATGCTAGACACTAAGCACTGTGCACATTTTGTCTCATTTAATCCTTGCGGGGCCACATGCCTCTGTGGTTCAACAAAAGGGTTTTCACGGCTGTGTCCTAGGCTGGCACTGTCTACAATGTTGATCTAATCAGGCGCCCTGCCCCTTGCTTTCTGTGAAGTCGCCCTGAGCTGGTGGTGGGCTTCAGACAATACCCTCACCTATCTCACAGAATTATATTAAACCCCAGGAGACTCAACATTTTCCCCCAGCCTAGTTAAGAAAATTTTGCATTTGCTTGCTTGTTCTGTGGAGACAACCATCTCCATACACCATCCTAGACATGTTAAAACCTCACTCATTTCTGAGGCCCTCAAAGTATACTTACAGTATAACTTTTTTCTTCCTAAGCAGAAAAGTATCTTTTTCAATGGAACGTGAGAGAAAGTTAGAAAACTGTAGAATAAATGGATCCAATGGACTCCCTAAAAAAGCATAATGCTCGTTTAAATAAACACCCCCTCTGAGTGTTAAAGACGTGCTAATGATGCGCCTCAGGACACACTGAGCCCTGTTTACACTCCCTTTGCAATACAGCTTAGTGGTCCATGTCTTGCCATTCAAAATGCCATCACTCTGTCCAGGATGTCCCATTAATGTACCCTTGAAGGAAGAGAGCTCTCTGAAAGTCTTCCTGAAAGAAAAATACAGCCCTGTCCATACAAGAGAATAACAGGCATAACTGTCTTCTCAGTAACAGCTTCCATGTAGCAAAATCCAGAGATACTGAAAAGCTTAGAATCCAACTTAAAATTAGAGCACAACTCATTTCCCAGAACTTGATTAAGCAAACATTTGGATTTGCAGAACCTCACCAAGTGTAGCAGGAATGGAAGTGGTAACTCATCAAAGTATCCATAAGTTTGTGTCCAGTTTTCTTAATGTTGTCATGTCATCACCGGTTAATGTAAATTTATATTGCAATTTTGTTGGATTGCTAAATGCTACCTGGTTTGCCACACTTTTAACTTAGATCAGCATTGGCCAGCAGAAAGGTAATGTAAGCCATAAGTACAAGCCACATCTGTAATTTCTAATGTTCTAATAGCCATATTAGAAAAAAAGTGAAAGTGAACAAGTGAAATTAATTTTAATGACCTATTTTTCCTTAATCCAAGATGACCAGAACACTGTCAATTTAACTGTTGATATAAAAAAGTAACAAGATATTTTGCATTCTTTTCTTCGGTGCTAAATCTTTGAAATTCGGTGTGTCACATCTCAAGTCAGACCAGCCAAGTTCAAGTGTCCACGAGCCATTTCAAGGTGGCTGATCTGTCAAACTGCAGAGTGCAAATTTAGATGGAGATTTACTCTGGATCTCCATATTCTAGATGAATTTTTATTGGTTTCTGTGTAAAGGTATGTGTGTTATTTTTATGTGCAATGTTTTTGTAACTTTTAAAACCCAGATATATGGTGTAACATGAGGATGAATAGACCAGAAAAACAGTTAGGCAGTGTTGTCCTTTTTGTTCCTATTGACTGCTCCATCTCTTTTAATTATAACAAGAATCTTCCCTGCCTGCATGCACAAATATGCTGGGAAACTTCTGCCTCGTTTACTCTGGCTGGTTCTCATCCATTTATGGGTCAGTGGTTCATTTTCTAGAGGTCACTAGCATTCATACCTAGCACACAATTTCATTCATTACAATGAAGAACTGTTTTTCTTTCAAAGCAACACAAGTGGCGGGCTTAATTTTTCCTGATATGTCACCTGTAAAATTTTAATGATAATGTTTAAACTCTAAATGTGCCATTGAGACAAACACTGTCAGTTTTGAGCTCAGTGTGTGTGGGTAGATTTCTGTTTTGGTGGTTTGAAACACTGCAGAGCATCATCAAAGTATGATACCCAAGCATCATATGGTATCAATCATTCCTAGATGTGCTGGTCTCTTCATTGCCAAGACAGTAAAATGAGCTGGTAAAAACATATGGAGTCTTTTTTTGTGAGGAGGAGAATGTGAAAAATAAAATTTAACCAATCATGTATCACAGCTTGCGACTTCAGTCATACAAAGCATTTTAATTTAATGATTGAAAATTTGTAAAACGCTTAACAGAGGATTATCTTCTTTCATATTTTAGATAAGCAGAGGTTTTGGGTTTTTTTGTTGTTGTTTTTCTTTACCAAATAACGTATGTGGTCCAGAGTGCAGAGGGAATGTTGAAACTACTTCTATGAGCAGGCAGGTGGCTTCTCAAACATATTTTGGGGTAGAAGAGTTGGGATTCAGGATCTCTGTCACCTCTGACACTGTCTCCACTGGCTCCTGCAAGTGTGACTGTTGTCTCTTGTTAAACCCACCTGCCTGCGCTAGGTGATTTCCTGGTCACCATCCTCACACCCTGCACCTCCCCCATCACCCTGCCAAACCACACAGAGCTGCAAAGTTCTTTCATGTACCTTCTTCTGATAATAGTGCCTGTCTCTCCTCCCTTCCTTAGTGCATGGCCTGTGTGGAAGCAGGAGTGGTGGGAGTAGAATAAAAGACTGGCTGGTGAGAGGGATGAAGAAAGGAAGCGACTTGCATCATCTCACCTAGCATGCTTGGGCCCGACTGCCTTTTAGCTCGGGTCCCTACTATCTAGTCTTACTCACCCATTAAAACCATCCAGCATGGGGGTGAGTAGGGCAGAGGAAAGTGGTGGTGGGAAAATGGAGACAGTTGTACTCAAACATTAACAAAAAAAAATTTTTAAACTGTCCAGCAACTAGAGATTTTGTTGTCCACCCACTGGAAAAAAGTGATTAGTGGAATAGAAGAGAGTAATATCTAAGAAGCACTAGTGTAAAGGAAAAACCTTCAATTTCTCTCAGCCAAATAATTTTCCTCCTCTGTCCTTTCCAGACCTTGATGTTCACTCTATTATTTCAAATCACCTTGTAATTATGAGCATTTGAGAATGTGTTTTGCTCTGCAAGGGGATCCTGAACCCCAAGAAGGCAGGGGCTGTGTATTATTCACCCCGGTGCTCTCTCAAACAGGACCTAGCACAGTTTATGTTCCAAAGAGGTACCTAGTATTTTAAATATTTGGTAAACTGACACTATTTAGATTAAGCAACCTGGGTTTGAGGCTGGTCTCTGCCACTCGCTGATGATCAGACCTTGAGCAAATCATGTCACTTCATGTCAGCCCTTGCATCTATAAAATAGGGAGTAAAACTAGGTGATTTCTAACATCTCTTTCACTTCAAACTCTCTATGATCTATATAATATGGGGCTAGCTATTCTAGAAAAGGTCCTCCCAGCTTTAAAATTGCATGACCCTTCTAGTGACAGCCTCACAAAGCCTTTGCTGACAGATTTTTAGTTCATCATCAGAAGGTAAGTTTTGTGTGCCTTTACTCTTTGGTCCTCAAAGCTCATGATTCTTAAAGTATTTGAAATACCTACCAATTGTCAGGACCTAAATGAATTTTATTATCAAAGTAA